AGTAAGATTGCTTTTAGAATATACTTGCGCCTTAGTAATATTTCACTGAAACTAGAAGAGTCAGTGCTCCCCAAATTGATACATGAATTGGATGCAGTTCTAGACATAATCTCATCAGGCTTTTCTGCAGACATTTACAAGCTGATTTTTCAATTTGTATGGAAGTTAAGAGGATCTAGAATATCCAAAGGAATCTTGAAAGTAAGAACTAGCACACTTCAGTGCTGAAAGGAAATATTGATGTGTTCTTTTGGTGTGGAAATTTCTTGAATTCTCTTATAAATTCAGCAGGACTAGCTTTTATATATTGGACTTGTATAAAATTGAAATATACATACATTGTACAGTGACCTATCTAAACCATGTAAGTTCGTCTTTCACATGTTGGTCAGCTAATGATGAATTTTAATTATCTTCTGCTGGTGTGTGAAGGGGCTTGGCCACAGGATGATGGTTGTATTTGTTTCCTTATCCTCTTCTCACCTCCAACAAAGCCACCCCTTATTTTGTAGGGGTCTTAACATTTTTCCTTTATGTAATTATTTGTCATTCTTCTTACCACATCATGTCTTCCATGGATATTATTATTACATACTTGGGGGTGTAGTGTATCTGAGTGCGCAGTGAGGAAGTTCATAATATTTATGTGTAACAAAACTTAAAAATTGTGGCCTTAAACTAGTAGAAGTTTATTTTTCCTACATAACAAAAAGTCTAGTGTAGGGTTAGGGAAGTGTTGTAAAGCACCTGAGCTCTCTTAGTTTTTGAACTAACCCAGCATCATTAAGGATGTCTCCATGGCTGGCAAGAGATAGCAGAGCCAGTGTCAAAATGTCCTTGAAGGTCTTCTCTGCCTCCAACTTTTGAACATTCCCCCAAACCCATTTCTCCATAGTCTGCCCCAACTTTGATTTAATACCCTCGTATCTAGGAGGTTTTAATATCAAGTGTGTTCTGAGACCCAGGCGCACAAATTCACTTCTCCACATGAGTCCTATAGATAAGACTCCCGCCC